TTGCCCAATAAACGTTTATCACCAAAGAATTCCAGAAGCTCCATGGATAATACCGTGAGATATTCTAAACATTCAACACTTGGCAATGATATCCCACTTACCGGTAGCATGAAGAAACAATGATAGGAAAAATGCTATAACAATGTTGCCAATTACTTTTCTTTTTTTTTTTATATTTTTTGGGCCAAGCCATTCAATATCACTGTAATCCGCAGCATATCTGAATGTCAGTGAACTTGACAGTTTTGATGATAGTCAACAAATTCTGTTTTTAATCAAAATGTACAGTCGTAGTCAATATCAAACAGGGTTTGTTTGTTTTTTAAAAAAAAAAATATTTTATATGTAACATTGAATTAATTTGTATATATATTATGACTTAATACAAATTTAAATAATTAAAATCCTCATAATAATTTATTGTACATACACAGCAATACATCTCTTAAACTATTGTACATTTACAAGTTCATAATCTGTCCACAATATATTTTAGTTCTGCTATGCATGCAGAAAAAAATACCCGTTTTTTTGTTTTGTTTTTATGCAACTTGACTCGTGTCTTGCAACAAACGTTACTGAAGGTGAATTTGGGGCCAATAGATTTACACTTGGCATACAAATATAAAATAAACAAAGACCCAGAGGACTGAAGATGAGAAAATCTAAGTTGAAAGCGAGTGAAATCAATTGCAGAAAAACCTTTTATATGCGATTAGGACTCACTTCACTGAACTTCACAATGAAATGAACAACAATCATCAATGTAATAAGTGCTTGATCCAATAAAACATGAATAGAAATTTGCTCTAAGCTCAATGGAATCTGTTTAAGAAATGATAATCATGTTAAAAACTGTTATTACAATAGCCATTTGTTCTAAGGCCGAATCATGATGAAAGAATTTTTGCTGTAAACATTTTTTTTTTTTGCTACTACAATAATGAAAGGGACTGTTTGAAATGTTCAGTGGAAGTATTATAAGTGTAACATGTAGCAATGAACTGAAACATACAATCAAGTAGCAAGTATTAGCAGAGTTACTGAATGCAGTACTGAGCACAGGTAAATACTGCATTATATCGGGTACATACAAAGTGAAGTAGCAAGTGACAGCGTGAATTGCATGTTCTGGAAAGATTACGTCAATCGTTTGTTATCTCACTCTACCCAGCATTTAAACTATTCAATGTTTCTTGAACCGAAGACACACAGATTGAGCGTATCCTAGCAGGAATTCTTTAAAAAAAACACTTGAAAACTAGAGTTACCAATATGAGGTGACCTTTTTTTTTAACTGCAAATGACCCCAAACTGGAATGAATTCCAACCTCAAAATAATTAACAATGTATGGTAGCGAGCATAGGAAACGCATCTGGAATATATGGTGGGTGACAGAGTTAGAAGTAAATCTAGAACTGGAAAGGGGAGGAAGCCTGAGGTTTCTATGTAAAGACAGAAAATTGGAGCTTCGATAGACATAAAATAAAACGGCCATAATTGAAAATTACAACCTAACTGCATGAACAATCAAGCTATAAAATACGTCAAATCTGGCGCACAGATGTAACACTAGAAGCCTGCCAACGTGACATCCAATAATCCCTTGTGAACACGCAGAAATAAAGCCATTTCATGCTCATCTACAATGCATGCATTTTGGGTAATACACCTGTAAGTGGAAAATAAGACTAACAAAACTAAGTGATAAGTCAGCAAAGGGAAGACAAGTAGCTGCAGAATATAGTACTCTTCCTAATTCTTATCAAGTGGTCCTCACTTTTGGGTCTATTTTGGTGACATTATATGTCTTGTTATCGTTTGACAGTCGCTTTATCTCTGAGCATACAGGTATTGATTGGTTGCCCAGTAGAGTTCTATTGCTGAACAAACGACAGCAGACAAGGATGTAGACAGGTGGACTGACTGAATAATCATCCCAGCGCAGCAAGTGTGCACAATCATTAAATTCGGCACCACTACCACCCGAATTGACAACTTGGGGCCTCTCCCCAACAGTCACAGGGGGATATGGGCCACTGATGTTCCTCTATACGATCACTGTACACATTAATTGGTTGGTTGCGGGACTGAACGACCAAACCACCTAATGAAGAATGCAAGGTCCACCTAATTTAAAATCGGTATAGCGGTATAGTTAGCACGTATTTCTGATTATTGAAGTGATCCGACTGACCAGCCAACAAACAATAGGCAATAAATCCACTGATGTAATAGTTTGCTTTGAGAGCTCTATTCGATTATCAATGAGAATTGTCATTTGAGAGTACTTGATTGATACAATCTGACGTTGTTGCGTTACGTCAACAGTACTGTCCTGCCCTAGAAATGCTAATAAAGGCCATCAGATAACAGTAACCTAACAGCTACACCTCTGATCTAGGTAAACATACTATATCACATACATTTAAATGTCATTTTCTATAATAACTCAAAATATAAACCATTCTAATCTTCCAGAGTTACAATGAATCTACTAAAGCCAGACAAAAGTCCCCTTATCGATGTGACGTTCGTTAAATGGCAACATAAGCATGCATCATGGGAAACGTTTCTTGGGACTTCTGTACACAAGTGACGTTTCAACTCCATAAACTAGGGCGCTCATCATTTTTTAATGGCTGAATTTATTATTGCAATGAATACATCAAAAGTATTATATATTCCTGTCCTATCTACTGTGGCTAACCAACCACTCAAGGTTTTATATCAGTTTACTTCCCGTCATTAAACAGTTTCAAAAAGACATACATAACTACAGCAAAAAAAACCAAGGACACTGGACTTGGCCTTTAAAACTAAACTGAATTAGACTGCCTATATTCTGATGCAAAAGAGTGGAACTAATGATATAGCCTGGAGTATACATGCAACTGTTTTCCAAATACAAAAAGAAACGTTGAATCAGTCTAGCTTATTTATACCAGTGTTTTGTCCTTTATATAACAAGTGATCTAAATAAACAATTTCACCTGAAAACCGGTTACATTTATAATCAACCACTGAACCAGGAACAAAATTTATATACTAAGCTGCGATCTCTGTGATAATGGAGTTCTGTTTTTTTTTCTGACAATGTATCCTGCTACATATACCATGCTAGGACAATAAGCCTGTTCTAGCATCAATAACAACAGGACTTAATAGACTATATTCTTTTTTGACTTTGACAAGGATGTGTTTTTTTTGTGTTTTTTTCTATGTACGGCATGCACCTTTTGTAAAGAAAAAGAATCATTGCAAAGTACATAACCCAATCTAGCAATTACAGCAAGGCCTATTTGAAAACATTTAGCACACTTAGCTTACAATAAAATGTTGTATTTCTGAAATTGAACTCTTTGGTGTGAAATACAAGACTCAGCATCCCACAGGAGCATATCAGTAAATAGCTTTGAGGCAAGTAACTGCTGCACGCACTACCAGTAAAATACAGTGACCAAAGGATACATTTCTCATTACGTACATGAACCCCCCCCCCCCATCTCACCAGCCGTGGTTTGTTTTTATTTGGCCATCGGCTCATCATTATACATTAGCCAGAGTGTCCTCGATTTTTCTTTTGTTTTATTTCAATTGTCATAAACTATGCCAACTCTGATTGGGCACATGTTATAGATCGATGCGTTTTACAGAGGTCAAAAACATTTGACCTATCGGTAGAATCGTGGGGCTCGTGGGAGTGGGGGGGGGGGGGCTAGTACATCGATGATGAACCCCTTAAGCATTTAAACAATAACAGGTACCAGTAGTAGTCAAGTCATGTTTAATTGGTTTGATGACAGTTGAACTAATAAATGAGTGATTGTTAACAAGAGTCATTTAAATTAACTGTGCATTCAGTCTCTGGGTTCTGGTAGGGCAGGGTTATATAATGAAAGTAACCCCACCCAAGCAGCAAAAGTCCCTGGGTTCTGGTAGAGCAGGGTTATATAATGTGAAGTAACCCCACCCAAGCAGCAAAAGTCCCTGGGTTCTGGTAGAGCAGGGTTATATAATGAAAGTAACCCCACCCAAGCAGCAAAAACAAGCGCTTACAGGATTGCAGCTACATTCAAATGCCCTTCTTTTCTTATCAGTTATCATAAATGTGGATTGATCACACAGTAGCCAGACAGCTAAGAATGGCTCCCCAGGACATTGACACTGACACACTGGGAAAGACTTCTTCACTTTAATCGCTTACACCTCACTACAGACATTATTACAATGCATTATGTATTAAGACACTTACTTAAAACACTGTAAAAAAAGGCTAACACAGTACTTACTTGGGCTTGCTAACAAAATCATCTTTATATCATTTTTTCTTCCTAAATATGTCATTTCAATTAATAAAAAGATTATAAACAATTGGAAGATAGTTGATATTAAAACTGACTAAAACATTCACTTTCTCTGAAAAAAAAAATCTTTTTAATCTGAGTCCACTTTTAGTGGTCAACGTTTTAGCATAAAACTATAATTACATTCCTATACAATCAGGGTTAAATTAAGTGTGAAAAGCAATTGTCAATGGCAGTATTATTTTTATTTAACTCTGACCAGTATTCTTCACATACACAGATTAATTAAATATTTTTAATTTCTTTTCCACTATTAATGTTACAGTTATGGGCAATTGGTTTTTATAATAAAAGCGTTTTCTGTTAAACATTTGATTTAAAATTATTGTTTATTTAAAACTGTAAACAGTTTTCTATCATATATGTATAATTATTGTTTTCATCACTTGTTGCGAAAAATGCGCATTACACGCCGGCCATTTTGAAAGTAAAAACTAAATTCAAACGGTTGACTCAATCCATGCGATTCGGATACGTTACAATATTGAAAATAAACAGCCGTCAGTGAGGACGGCTGTCGATTGGTCTGTGGGCAGCTCGATATGGACATGCTGGACATCAAATTGCTAATGAGCTTGTGAGCGTGATTCAGGAATGGCAGAGGTTTTGTATATCACAACCTAGCAACTTACCAGCTCCTGAGAGGCATAATCCGGGGATTTTGGATTGACCGACAAATACGCATAATCGTACATGAAATATCGCACGCGTTCTCGATTTTTATCCCAGTCCGCCACATGCTCTGGTATCTGCGGAAAAAATATTTTAGCTGTTAGAATTAAATATACGGAGCCGCCTCCCGTCACATATCAACAGCTGATCGATCGATGCACCATACATATCGAGAAGCCGACATGATGCGCGGTGCCCCAATACAAAACCACGCTTTGAAACCGTCAACCTGACGAGAACCGTAGCGTGTATTTTTTTTCCCGTGAGATGTACATACCTTCGGATTCGTAAGGGCGATAGTGCTTTCGTTGATTTGCACGATGAATGAAGCATCTTGTTGTTTCTCCCTGCATGAAGAAAAAATCAGTGAATGGTATAAAACGGGAATAAATCCTGTTCGGCGACGAGAGTTGACAGTGAGTAGAATCCAAATCAGCGGAGGATCATAAACGCTCAACACCAACAAACTTCAACAGGCGGCGATGATTATCTTTATGTTTCGCGGTCGCTGGACGTACTTACCTCGGGAAAAGGGGCCTGACACGCACCGCTACTTTTACACTCGCCATTTCGTCGCATCAGGCATCATTTTTACGTCATTTTCGCCCGATTCTCACGTAAAACTGTTAGAATCAAACGACGCACTCGTAAAGCTCCGATTTCACTCAAGAACACATACAGATAGGGGGGGATGTTGATATGACCACCTAGGTGAGCGTGCGTTTGACTGTGGAGGCGTGGTGCTGCGTAATTATCCAATCAGAGCGTCAGTGGACGTTGTAAATAGCCGAGTTAGCCCGGCCTGCTAAGTGTATGGCGATCTATTCACACTTTTTAAAAAAATATGCCGGTCTAATAAACATAGGTAAACTCACGTCAAAAACGAGTTTGTAATGAGCTAATCTCGACTTGTGTGAAGTTTGCTATTCCGGCTTTCTGTTTTTAGTTTTTCTTCAGAGAACATAATTTGAAACGACAAAACGCAACTAGTTATCTGAGGAACATAGTAGGACGGCAGATCAAACACATTCATCCCACGTAATATCCCCCGGTGTGTTTCTTACCGGAGAGAAGGTGGCAACATGAAATTTGGTCGACCCGATGTTTATCCGAAAACTGAACCGATTGATCAGTAATATCCGTACCATTAGATGGTACCATAATTCCACAACAACAATAAGAATTACACAGCACCGTCACTGTAACTCCGTCACGGTAACTCAGATTATCAGTTATATATCAAACGCAATTATGTTCTTCAAATACAAACTTGAAGCGAGTCGGGGCATAAACAAATGAATAGTCGGGAAACGAAATGAAACTGAGTGGCGTAAGTCGCGATACAAGCAAATACTGTTCATCATGATATTTTGTTATCTCAAGTTGCAGGAGAAATTCGGATGTTGACATCACTTATATAGGCCAAAGACACCTCGGGCCATGGGAACTGAAACCGTTACGTTCTCAAAGGAAGTATGATTGAAAAGTGACCTACTTAACTAATTAAATATAAACAACAGCGCAATGTAGCTGTTTATTTTGGTAAACAGATTAGATTGATACCTGCTATCGTGTTCGAAATTGACCCTGAAATTGACACAAGGGACGTACATGCGTTCAACTTAAAAAAAAAACATGCATCTGTCGTTTCTATCGCCCGGCTGCACAGGTAATCGCAGACATGTCGTGTTTTCTTCAAGTGTAACAATATCTGTACCGTAAATATTCTATGACGTAAAGTGAAATACATATAAGAAAACTACTGTTTATGTAATCGATATTATATTCAATACTAGTATGTTCAATCCCTAATTAACTGGTCTTGCACTATTGTACAGGTCAATTAGAAAGAATAATAGCAAAATGATAACTTAAGAAAGCGCGTAGAACTGCTCAGATTTAGAACCTGTTAGTTAGATTCTTACGCAATTATCGTGGACTTGACCATATATACCATAGAATGTATTTCTAATGTCTATGACTAGGTACGAGTACGTAACAGCTATTTTATTATGTAAATTTATAAAGAGCGCCATCACCTCTAACGTCTTAGTCTTGTATTTGTTTTTATAATAAAGGTTTCACCATAAAGCCGCAATATACGTAGGAACAGGTTTGAGATACATGTCGGGGTTTTTATGTCGTTTTCAACATAACGGTTAGATTTAGACACCAATGCCAATAATTATGTCTAAATAAGATGACAGTATGTGAGTGTATACATCGCGTTTAATACTTTAGTCTTTCGTAGGAGTGAGCTGCTCGTCAGAGGTATGCACGTGGATGAGCTCGGGCCTACATATATGGACGTTGGGGGGTACAGTCATTTCGCCCGAAATCCACTTCGCCCGAACTCCTTCGGCAATGGCAATCGGGCGAAATTGTAATCGGGCGAACAGGTAATCGGGCAAAGTGGAAATTGGGCGAAATGCCCCCAATTCGGACGTTGAGGACGCTATGTAAGTGGAATAACGCATTTCAGTACGGTACATGGAGTATTAATATACCCCCCTCCCACCGAGATGGAAATCATAATTTATAAGCAAACAAACAAAAACTCAAACTTGAGACACGAACCACTCCTGGAGTAATCAGTGGTCTGTTTTTAACTAAATCATTTTTAAGTGAACTCGTCTTTTGTACTTCATTTAAGGGGTTGACCATTAGAAATAAATATTTTGGTGGCTAGAAGATTTGTTTAATAAAATGAACACTTGTTGGCAATGACGGTCGAAATAGCTCCACTGTTCTACAAGAACAAATTGTTCACGTGGAGGATGAAAAACAACCAAACTAGTATTCATAAGGAGGCTGTAAGCATCCACACTTGTATTCATATGGAGACTGAACATCCACACTTGTATTCATATGGAGACTGGACACCAACACTAGTATACATATGGAGGCTGTAAACATCCACACGTGCATTCATATGAAGGTTGTAAACATCCACACTTGTATTCATATGGAGACTGAACATTCACACTAGTGTTCATATGGAGGCTGTAAACGCCCACATTTGTATCCATATGGAGGCTGTAAACACCCACATTTGTATCCATATGAAGGCTGTAAACACCCGCACTTGTATTCATATGAAGGCTGTAAACACCCACACTTGTATTCATATGGAGACTGAACACCAACACTAGTATTCATATGGAGGCTGTTAACACCCACACTTGTATCCATGTGGCGGCTATGGAAGCAGTGAACATCCACACTTGTATTCATATGAAGGCTGTAAACAACCACACTTGTATTCATATGGAGACTGGACATCCACACTTGTATTTATATGGAAGCAGTGAACATCCACACTTGTATATATATGGCAGCTGTAAACACCCACACTTGTATTCATATGAAGGATGTAAACACCTACACTTGTATTCATGTGGAGGTTGTAAACATCCACACTTGTATTCATAAGACTGAACATTCATATACAGGCTCTAAATACCTACACCTGTATTTATACTGAGATTATGAACATCCACACTTGCATTCACATGGAGACTGAACATCCACACTAGTATTCATATGGAGGATGTAAACACCCACACTTTTACTCATATGCAAGCTCTAAATACCTACACTTGTATATATAGAGCTATGCACATCCACACTTGTATTCATATGGAAGCACTGAACATCCGCACTTGTATCCATATGGCGACTGTAAACACCCACACTTGTATTCATATGAAGGCTGTAAACATTCACACTTGTATTCATATGCAGGCTCTAAATACCTACACCTGTATTCATCCCGAGGGTATGAACATTCACACTTGTATTCATATGGAAGCACTGAACATCCGCACTTGTATCCATATGGCGACTGTAAACACCCACACTTGTATTCATATGAAGGCTGTAAACATTCACACTTGTATTCATATACAGGCTCTAAATACCTACACCTGTATTTATACTGAGGTTATGAA